TTCATAGAATCATGGAATGATTTGGGTTGGAAGGGACCTTAAAGATTCCAACTCCACTGAGATGGGCAGGGACACCTTCCTTCCACTATCCCAGGTTTCTCCAAGCCCCATCCAACCTGGCCTTGGACACTTCCAGGGCTGGGGCAGCCACAGCTTTTCTGGGCAACCTGTGCCAGGTCTCACCACCCTCACAGCGAAGAATTTCTCCTAATACCCATTTCTGAATAAAAAGCTGATACTGAATGGGGGTGGGGCTCTGAGGCATTCTGGTGCCACGAAAACATCTCTGTGATAAGGAGGAGCTTTTGGATAGCAAAATACTCAGATTTTTTTGATAACACGTGAGTCACCTCTTACAAAATGGGAAATTCTGGAGCACAGGAAGCACTTGGCATTTTTTGGTGTGCCTCCAGGCCACCCACGAGGCAGCACTGATGGCTGTAGGTGCACTCACCTCAATGGTTGCCTGATTCCACTTGATTCCATCGAGCTGTGAGGAGAAATATTGGAAAGAGAAGTCCAAAGTGTTCATCTGTGATGTGGAGAAAGCTCCTTGAGATGTGTTATTTCCCTGGAGGGAAATATCTGGGGCATCCCAGACTCCCTGAGCAAGGCACTGGAGTGTCCTGAGCTGGATGTGTCGCCTCGGTTTGCACCACCTTTTTTTTCCAGTTGTTACCTCATAAATCACTCAATCTCTGTGCATTTGGCAGATAATTAAGTGTGTGAGAGCTACCAGGCTTCTCTCTTGTGCAATTTATGGCTGTGGAGAACACAAGGAACTGATAGAAGCTCTTTCCTCTGCCAGCCTGATGGGTGAGGCCTTGCTCCCCATCTTTTAATTACATTGCTGCAATCCCATTCCAGCCCTTTCCATGGCCTCCCTTGTTTTGTGTCAAAATCTCCATGATGTGCTCTTTACCTTCATTTTCTCCTCCTGTTCATATTTTTTTTTTAAATACCAAAAGCTCGTCAAGATTCACAGTGTGTAAATCACCCTTGAGGATGACCTTGAGATAATGAGATGTTTCTGATCTCATGATTATGGAGCAAAATAGGAGCTGCCAGAACAAAATAATGGAAGCAGCACCTTGGCTGACAAAAATCTATCCCTGGCACTGTCACAATTTACCTCCTTTTCGTCCCTCTTGGCTCAGTCGTTGTAAGAAAAGCAGAATCTGACTTTTTTCATGTAGATTTTTCCTGTTCTCTGCATTATTTTTTTCCTCTTGATTGAGCACTTCTCAGCAGTAAGATCCATATTTTGATGCAAAAGGTACGTGGACATCTTCTTAATTTCACTTTTAAGCCCAGACTAAAGTGTGTTGGTAATTTAGGGGTGGCTACAACTTACATGAGGCCACATGAAGTGCTTTCTACAGCCTATTTCCAGCTCGGAGCTTATTGTAATATAAGGAAAGCCTTGGTTATCCAGGTAAAAACTGACTGTGGTGAAACACCAGAATCAGCAGAGTTTATCAGCTCTTACCTGGCCTGATGGAGCAACTGGTGAAATAAGGGTGGAGCAGGCAGGGATGATGACAAGTGGGAATTCTCGGAGTTAATTCTTACCTCCACCTGTGAATCAGAGCCTCGCAGCCAGGGAGTTTCCATGGAAGTTGCCTGGAGACATTTTCATAATTTGGGCTCCTCAAATTCAGGCAAAAGATTGCTTACTCTGAGGAATAAAGATATGAAAGTTGATCCTGATTTGAAGCACTTTGTGTAGTTCAGGCTGAGTTTTCCCTCCTGTGTGTAAGGACAGAGTGAAGAGGAGCCAATTTTGGCTCTTGCTGATGAATTCGTGGGACAAACTTAGATCCAGCCTTTGGAGGATCTCAGGAACATTACAGGCATCAGACCTCCTGTGCCAGCTGACAAACACTGACAGCACCCTGCATTTTCAGTTTCCTGAGATTTAAGGCAGATTATTTTACCGGAACATTTCAATAATTTCCACTTCCTTGATTCCCTGGACTGCAACAAGTTCATAACAGGGCTGCGTGTTGGGTGGATTGATGTGGCTGAGGAAGCTGAGGATTTGCACTTCAGGAGTCCAGCTTTGCTGCTGGACTTCCCAGTTCTTCAGTTTGTGGTAGGATATCAGGAACTTGCTGATATAACCATTTTGATGTGGTGTTTTAAGAGCAAATAATTAAAATTATTTGGGTAGGGGTCGACTCGTGCCTTGTGAGAGTTCAGCACTGCTGTTGGTGCAACGCTGCACATTGTGTGAATATGAGGAAGTTATTAAAAGTTCAGTAATATTTCATTTGAAGATTAGCCTGTTCTGCCTTAATTTCCAGTGCTCAGCTTGGCACGTGGCCACTTGTCCATGTCTGTGCCCTGGGGTGCAGTAATTCATCTGTGAGAATTGTCCCAATTTCTGCTCACGCTGGTGCTGCTCGAGTGGGGTTTGTGGTTCATGTGGTTCTGCTGTCACTACACCTGCTGTGCTTCTTTCACCATGGATTAAATAGCTGGATTTTTTCCCCAACTTCCAGGTAATTAGGGAATTAAATTCTGGAAGTGGAGCATTGCTTTGGTCAGAGGTGAAGGCAGACAGAGACGACGTGGGTGTTCACAAGGAGATCAGGACATCTGCCCTTTGCTGCAGAAACTTCTTACTATGGAGAGAAGAATCCTGGAAAGGTTTGGGTTGAAATGACCTTAAAGCTCATCCAGTGCCACCCCCTACCATGAGCAGGGACACCTTCCACCAACCCAGGTGGCTCCAACCACGTGATGATCTTTTTAATTTGTGTGATAAAAGCACATCAAAATAGCTTAGAAATAAGCCTGGTAGATGTGCAGGGGGCACTGGTGGTGACCCTGATCCGTGTTGGTGGGCAGGATTATATATTTCCAGCTAAGGAAAAGGTCCTTGGGAAGCTGTTTTTTAACAGTCTTGGGTAAAGGCTGCCCTGAGGAGCTTCAGGCAGAAAGTTCTGGAGGTTCATAATGAGTAAAATCTGCCTGGAGGGGCTTCAGGGAGAAAGTTCTGGAGGTTCTGACCACGTTCATGTGGAGTCACCCCTGGTAATGGATTTGGGAGCTGATCCATGAAATTGGAAACCTTTATGGCTGGATAAATGAGAGCTTGGATGAAATGGAATTAAGAAAATGGGTTTTAAACAAGGCAGGCATGGTGCTGGCCAGCTGAGCCCCCCAAATTTCTCATGACTTCAATTAATGGTGCATTTGTACTTTCAGGGTCAGTGCAGCTGGAACTGGTTCATCCCCCCCTTCCTGCTTTTGTTCTGGTTTCCACTGTTGGATTATTGGTTCTGTTTACTCTTAACACATTCATTTCATCTGGCTTTTTGGTTTTTTTTTTGGTGTAAAAACCTCCAGCTCAGCCTGAACTACAATTAGCTGGGCAATAATGGAGCAATTAGCTGCAATTAACGCGGAGCAATAATGAAGCAGGAGAAAACAGAGCCCTGCCAAGGTGCTTTATGAGGAGCCTGACATGCTCCTCACAACCGAGCTGTTGCCCAACGTGCTGGGCATACTGGTGTTACTGGGAGCTCCAAAACACCACCCTCCTTCCACCTTCCAACCTCTTTCCACCCTGGCTGAACGGTTTCATCTGCAGGGAAAGGGATTTCAGCACTGGAGCAGAGTTTCCCAAGCTGTGGTGTGGTCTCAAGCTGTCAGAGGTGTTACCTCACCTCCTCTCTCTTTTTAGTTCGGGGGAAAAAAAAAAAAAAAAAAATGCTTCTGTTCACTGCTGAGTGCCAAAAAATACCTTGAAGTCTCCTGCTGGAACCCAGTGATTTTGAATATTAAGTAGGTAGAGTTATTCCAGCTTTTCCAGCAGCCAGAAGTGCAAAGTGTTGGGAAAAATCTCCAAAGGCTTTTTAGCAGAGGTTATTTTCAGCTGTTGCTTTCCTTCCTGGTGAACACGTCTTGCCCAAAATCTTTGAAATTTAGTAAAGCTGAAGAACTTAAAAAAAAAAAAAAAAGGAATTTTCACTGGAGTGAGGCTGCAGGAACCCTCCCAAAAATCAGCAGCTGCTGTTTTCCTCCATCTTCCTGCACCTCCTGCAAAGCCAAACACAGATAACAGGCCCAATAAGGAAAAAAAAAAAAGTGCTTTCCACGAATCCCATCGTGGGAGGGCGATGGAAATCCCTCTTCCTGAGCAAAGGAACTTCCTTGTTCTGTTTGCTCTCAGTTAAATGTTTAAATAGCAGTGTTCCATCAGGGTGTGTGCCCTGGAGACAGGAGAGCCAGCCTTTGCATACCTGTAAAAAATGCTTCTCCCTGTCCTCCAAAAAGCAGGGCAGTTGGGTTTGATGACATGGGGAAAAAATCCCCATTTTTCAGAAATTAAAAAATGAGATGTTAGTGGGAACAGGACTCATGAGGAGATGCTGTGGCATTTACATCTTCACGTCATCTAGTTAACAAGCAGAATTGAGGCTAAAATTTGGGAGAGGTTTTTGGTTCAAGCACCAACTTGCTGGGTAAACATTTTGATTTTTTTTTCACCTCTGACATTTGGCTTGCAACTTTTAGTCTATTTTAGTCTATTTTGAGTCTATTTTACGGGCTGCTTCCATAGAAAATGTCACAGGTATTGCCATTTTTCATCTCCTCCAGTGCTGTGGGACAACTGGAAGTGTCATTACAGCTTGGCACCTCAGATCTGCAGGATAACAACTGGGATTAAACTGCCAGGACAGCTGAGATTTTGGCCCCCAGTTGAGCCCAAACCACCCAATTGTGCCACCAGCACACACAGGTATTTGTTACCTTAATTTGAAGCACATCAGTGTCTTTTTTCCCCCCCCCAGAGACAGGAGAGGTCTTGGATCCTGTGAGGATGAACATGGCAGTCCCCTTTTGGACCCATCTAAGGAGCTCTCAAACCTTGTCCCAGAACATTTATTCCAAAATAATCTGTCTGCCACAGTGCCAGCCCGGCCCACACACATCCAGACTACTTATGAATGAACAGAAAACACAGAAGAGCTGAGCCACGAGCACCAGAATGTTGTTCCAGAAGAATAGAATTTAATTTTTATCTGAAAAAAAACTGCATACACATGTTCAGATCTGGACAACCTTCACAACATGTCTTCGTTTCCAAGCAGACTTGTGCTTTTAAGGTGCAGGACCCCACTGCAGCTTGATAAAGAAGTTAAGAGGGCTTTTTTTTTTTTAATTTTATACCCTCTAACTGTGCAAACATCATTTGAAAGCTATTTACATTTTGCACCTCTCACTTCTAAGAGCAGCAGCATCAAGCTGTTAGAGATGTGCAGCTGTAATTTATGGTTTGGCATTCACATGTGATTGAGGTGTAAGTGGGAAAACCAAACAACCTTTCATTGTTCCAGAAACTCCCCACAGGCAATGGTAATAAATCTAATTTCTTCTTTAGAAAGGAGATCTCTTTAAGCCCTCAGACTTCCCTGCAGGTATTAAAATATTACTTCCACTCTGATTCCTCGATCGTCTTCCCCTGGTGCTGACATGCCCTTTGCTGCCTTGGTGAGTGGGAGCAGAAAGAAAAGATCTTGGGTTTCATCAAAGAAGGCAGGAGGGCACTGAAAGAGAGCTGAGTTTGCTTCTTTCTGTCATCTTCACTAAACTGCAAGATTACATACAGTATTAAAAAAAAAATAAAAATCTGTATTAGGCCATCTGAACTCAGGTGCAACAACTTAGGCGCAAAAAAGTTGGATTAAAGTTCCTCCTCCTATTGCCTTCTGTTTGAATTTCCTCTCCCATCCATTAAAAGCTGGAAGTCAATGCCCAGCCAGGCATCAGCACTCAACTCAGGCTGGATTTACTCATTTCTGTACATTCTGGAGCAGAGAAGCCATGGGATGTTTTTCCCCCTGCCCTGTGAACTTTGTGTGTGATGAGTGTTGCCCCCCTCAGCCATCGCAGTCTCTGCTGGTTTGCACGTGCCAGAGGGATTCCAGGCTGCTGGAAGTGGTGGAAATCAGGCAGATGTGGCGCTCCAGGTGATGTTGCTGCCTGTGCTGCTTGCAGAGGGGCTGTGCAGGCAGGAACTCAGAGCCCTCCTCCGGGAACGAAGCAAAGCCGTGGGTTGTGAGAGAAAACAGCGTTTCCCTAAGTGCCAGAGCGCTTTGGAACAAACACCCAGCGTCCCACAGGCTGCTGGGGCAGGCTCAGTTCACCACGGGCACGGCGCCGTCGGGCTGGGCCCCGAAAATCTGGGAGAAGAACTCCAGGGCCAGGCGGACGTGGATGGGCACGAAGACGTAGGCCGTGTACACCACCATGGCCACCACGGTCACCGTGATGGTGTGGAACATGGACTGCTCCCAGGGCTCCAGCACGTAGCTGCAGGTCACCAGCAGGTACTGGTAGTACAGCCAGTAGATGTAGTCCTTCACTCGCTTCAAATCCATCTTCAGCTCCCGGCGCTTCCCGGGCCACCTGCAACGACAGGGAGCTCGGGGTTAAACGGCGCTGGAAAAGGCCTGGCAACTCAACTAGGCTGTGGTGACCACCATTTCAGCTTTGATGTCACGTGGAATCTTTGTCTGGAGTAAATTTCAGGCAGAGGGAGCACGTCAGTGCCGTCAGCAGCCTCTGCTGCCCCTGGGGCACGGGAAACAGCGCTGAGCTCTGCAGCTGCTTCTTGCATTTATGGAAGCTCCGTCACTTGGACAATCTCAATTCCCAGGGAAGCTGTGGCTGCCCCAGCCCTGGAACTCTTCCAGGCCAGGTTGGATGGAGCTTGGAGCAATCTGAGCTAGTGGAAGGTGTCCCTGCCTGTGGCAGGGGGTGGCACTGGATGGGCTTTAAGGTCCCTTCCAAGCCAACCCATCCTGTGATTCTGTGAATTCCCACATTCTGACTGTGAATGTGTTTTCCTGTTCATTCTGTTCAAGGAATTAAAGCCACAGGACCCTACAGAGGCACAAGGATCCCATGGAAATAAGGGATATAGGCATTTAAAAGGGAAGGCTTTGGGTCAGCTTCCATGAATGTGGATGGCAGACAGATATGCCCTGGGATAAAGATGAGATTAAAAAACTGCTCTAAAACCTCCTCTGCTTCCTTCTGGTAATATTTTTTATTGTTCTGCAATTGCTGGGAATAAAACAAAAGACAAGCTCATCCACCTGCAGGCACCTCTCCCCATTTTCCTCCTCCTATCCCTCAGATTTCTGCCCAGATTTTTATGTACTTGCCCCATCACCCCCCAAACAAACACACTTTCCTTCCCACCAGCCTTTCTTCTGTGTCCTCCAACCATCAGTACCTTCCCCAATGTATCCTTTATTCCCCCAGTTCTCCCAAAGTAGTTCCTTTCCTTCACTTCCATCTTCCCATATCTCCCAGACCAAGAAACTGCCTCCAGTGCTTTTGGGGGGCAGATCACTCCCATTTTAAATCCAGCAATGACTGTCTTTGCTGGGAATGGTTTTACTTGGCCAGAGTTCAGGCTGGGCAGAATTGTCACCACTGGTTCCTGTCCTGGCATGAATGGAAGACGATTCCTTCCAGATAATTTATTTTAAAGCAGAACTCAAGAGAGGCCTTAAAGCCTTGTAAATATTGCAAAGCCTTCAATAAAAATGGCACAGCTGGCAAACTGTGACTCCCTGGGAGCCAAAAGTGTCTCTATTTAGCCCTTGTGCAAAAAGAGCAGCATTTTCCAGTGAAGAGGTTAAGCCCTTTCCTCTACAGTTGGAAGGAGAACGATAAGAGCCCTCTGATACTCTCTAGGATTAAGGTATTTACACTGGGGTTAGACCTGTGCTGGTTAAACTCATACCTTTCTTGGGTAAATGCCTGCTAATCCTGCCTGCTGCAAGGCTGGGGTGCTGGCTGTGGCTGGCTGAGGCTCTGAGTTCCCAGAGGGGCACAGACACTCGTGTATCTCCATCTGGAGCTGCTTTAAGGAACAGCCAAAGTCAGGAAAAGCCTCCCCGGGCTGATTTGCCTGCTATTCAAGCAGGCTGCAGCCTCAGCACTATCACTGAGCAGGCACTGCTGTCCTGGAGGGAGACATGAATAAAGGATGAAGCCATTAAAATGATGAGCAGCCCCTTTTGATTTAACCAAAGACCTCGTCACACTTTCCCCAGCCTGGGGCTTGTGTTTCCACTCAGCTCCACCACAAAATCCGGCCTGTGCTCCTCTGGTTCTCCCAGGTCAGGCTGCAGGGGGATAACTCCATCCCCAGGCACTCTGGAACACCAGGAAAAACACACCCTGTCTCGATGCAGAGGCTTTGTGGTCCCCTAATGAATGGCAGAGGCTGAGATAAGTAAAAGCCAAACAGTGAATTACAGAGTGCTCCCCACTAACTCACTGCATTTAATCTACCCAGAGACCTTCTCTGATAGCAGGAGAGGAGCAGCAGCACGAAGAGCGTGGCAGGATAATGCCATTCCAGATGCATAATTTATAAAGGAAAACATAGGAGGGAAAAAAAAAAAAAAAAAAAGGCACCTTAAACCAGCTGCTCAGGAAATCAGACACAAGACTCCCCTGTGCCACAGATACCTCTGTGTTTTAAATTGGTTTTGTCCTTCTACTTCCATTTTTTTAAAGCATTTTATTATATTACTGCTGTCACTCTGAGTTGGAAGAGTCCTGAGTTATTCACTCATCATTCCCCAACATTCCAGAGCAGGAGATAATTTGCTCTTATGCCATTTTAACTGAACACTCTCTGTCTATAAATTTAGATTTTAACCATGCAGTTGTGTTGTGGAAATGCCTTTCTAGAGGCCATGGGACTGTTACAGCCAGCTATGAGTGAAATGAAGAGAATTCACCTTCTCAAGACATTAAGCAACATTCAGGTTATTTTCAGCAATTCCACCTCCAAGCATAAAAAAAAAAAAAAGAACCAAACCCAAGAAGAGAAACCTGTAAAGCAGCTTTTATTGTTTTAAGTGGCTGCCTGATTTTCTTGCTTGTTGATACATGCCTCTGATTAGGGCAGCTGGAAAGATAAATCATCATCAAAATGCCCCAAGTTTCATTTCAGAGCATGTCTAATCTCAAAAATTGCTTTATTAGTGACCTGGTGTTGGAGCCAGGTGAGAGTTGGAACCTGAAGATGCCACTTTAATGTGGAATTTATGCTTTGAGCAGCTGGGATTTGGGGAATTTTGGTCATAGTATAGCTCTACAACTCTGACCCGTGGCCGGACAGCACCTGGTGGGAAATTCCTGTGGAAAGAAACATTCTTGCAGGGGGAACTGGGAGAGACTGGTTTCCAAAGAATGCTTGAGAAACACCTGACACCCTCAGCAGAAGGGGCTGGTTGACTTACATATACAAAGAAAAAGAGTTTCCAACATATCTTCAGGTCTGAGTTTATCTGGAAGGGGGAAAAACAAACCCTGGAAGTGGAGTTGCCTCTGGTGTTTGAATGTAAAGTAGGGACAAGGAAAGAAGAAAAACAAGCAATCAATCAATCCACCCCCAAAATGCAAATATTTAATTGACTAGAAATGAGCCATTTGCTAAATAACTGCTGTGCTAACATAGAAGCAGGAGTGGGTGGGTTTTGCAGCATCCCGAGGGATTCCTCTCATGGTGAAGCGTAAATAAAATCCTGCCACCAGCCCCTGAGGGGGTTCCTGGTCCAGCCACCCCCTGAGCACCCACACGTGGGCAGGTGCAACAAGGCAAAGGGCAGTAATTGTTTTTCAGTTGTCTGATATGTAAATAATTGCAGCTATTAGAAGAGGAATGGGTAGTCACCCCCTCGGGGTTGGAAATAGAAATTCTTTCTGTGAGTTATTTATCTGTGGCTGTTCTTCATCATTTTATTGTGTTAAATGGGTTTGTTCTGCTCTTACTCAGAATATCCTGACTTATCCAAGGCACCAAATCCTGTCCCTCTTAGTTGCCAGTGTGATCCTGGGCTGAGCCCATGGATTTTATGCAGACAGACATCTCCAAGTGCAAATAGCACCATAAAGGGATTCCCATTCCCAGTCCATCCTTCATTCCCTTTGATGTTTTATTCAGGGAGCAGCAAGCACAGAGCAGAAGGAATGAAACTCAGGTCCTGTGGACCAGCAGTGGGGAAGAAATCTTGCTGAGGCAGCAGTCAGTGCAGGGAATCCCAGGGACACACTCAGCCTGTCCCTCTGTTGGCATTCCCGTGGCTCCAATTCCTCAGCTCGGCCTGGAAAGCTGCCTGAGAAGCAGAAACCCCTGAGGTTACTGCAAAACTTCCACAAGGATCTTTGAATGTCCCCTCGAGCTTGTTTTCACAGGGAGGAAACCCCAGGCAGAGGATGTGAATGAGAAGAGCAGCAGCAATCCCAGCCCAGCTCCCTCTGAGGAGGCACCATCAAAAATGCCTCGACACACAGACTGCCATAAATAATCACAATTTATTTACACCCCACCTGCAATTCTGCAGTGGCAGAGCAGCAGTGAGGCAATCTCTGGTTCTCCCTCAGCTTGCATCCTCCTGAAGCAGCCCCTCAGCACACTGGGCCGTGCACTCCTGCCAGCTCCTGAGCTCCAGGAAATGTCAAAGCTCCTGCACCTGTCCTGTGCAAGAGCAGGATAAAGCTCTGAGCTGGGAAAGTTTTATTGCTCCTCATGACTCAGACACTCTGCATGTGGGTGAACATGGTTTGACTGCTCCTGGGGGGTTTTCTGGACAATAAAAAAAGTCTTCCAGGAGTGGAAAAATACTTCAAGAGTGGAAAGGGGAGGCAGAAAAGCGTTTTCAGCCCCATTTCTGCTCTCCCTTGCTCAGGAGAAGGAACTCCAGCATCTTCCTGATCTTTAAACACCAGCCCTCCTTCCTGCTGCCCTCAGTGGGAGCACAGAGGAGCTGTTTGGGTTCTTTTAGATGTTACATAATGCACACATCACCTTTTGCTGTTGGGGAAGGCTTCCTTTTACCTCTGGTGACTCCAAACAAGGCAGTGAAACACTCACAGGGTGGCAGGGCCACACCTGCACAAAGTCTGGCCCAACTTCCTCGTGTCCAGCTCTGACCCCAAACCTCCCCCTCGTGTGCTGCCACATCCATGCTCCTCCAGCAGCTCCTCTGGGCTCCCCAGCAGTGGTTTGGTGTTATAATTCAGCTCCATCTCTCCTTGGAACATGGATTCTTGTCAGCCTGGGTGGAAGTATTTCCCAATGAACAGTGGAAGGCAAATACTTAAATATTTTTTAGTTGAAATTGCAGAATGGCTCCTTCAGTTGAGTTGAGCACATGGATGGGGTGTATTCTGGCCCACAGTGATGTGGGGAGGTCATTTAAAATATGACATACAAACTGTTGACCCTCAGTCAGGAAAGCAGCACCCACAGGGATTTCATTTGGAGAGAGGCTCCCAACCATTCCCTACCAGAACAGAGGTTGAGAGCAGTTAAAGTTTAGGCTGATTTCATGCCTTCCCCACCCCTGAAAGCTGTAGGCTGCTCCTAGCAAAGCCACTTTACTGCATAAATCAACTCCCCCTAACTTTGCAGCCTGGCTGATTTATCAGTCCACTCTCCTGCCTCTACTCAGGCAGAGGAAGGAGGAGATGCAGCTTCTCTGCAACAACAACAGCCTTGGAGCAGCTCTGTCCCATTTTCCTCCAAGGCCAAATTAATTTTTCAACAATTTTTCCTGTCTTTCCTCCTCTGAAGTTTCCTCAGTCATTTCCTTACGTAACTATCTGCTCCTCACGGTCTGTGTACAAATCCCTTCCTTTCCAGCTTCCTCTGGGATGAGCACGTTTTGGGACAGGACAGGACTTGCACCTTGGAGCAGAACTGGTGAGCAGCTCTGCCAGGGCACACAAATCAACTGGAAATCCAAGGAAAAGCTTTCCCTGTATTTCCAGGGTAAGCACAATTTAGGACAGACATGGTTTTGAACTAAACTGGTTCTCAAACAAAACCTCAAATTTGTAACTGGAGATCAGCACCAGGTTTAAATTGCTAATACTTAGAAATTGAGAGTTCTCAAAGAACTGTTCCAGGACTATCTCAGAGGGGATTTGGTGAGGTTTTGCCTTTCTTTGGTGACAAGCCTTGATTCCTGCAAGACTTGTGAGATTTGGGACATCATCTACATCCTTCAAGAGGCCTTTAAAGATCCTGAAGTTCAGAAGGTTGTGCAAACACATCACTCTCCAGACAAAATAGCTGAGATGTTTGGGGCCTAAAAAAAGATCGACTTCCGATTGTAGTCCTTGTTTTATTCAGACTACTTTGCTCTGCTCTGAGTCATTTCTGAAGCAGCTGAGAAGAACAGCTGCTCTTGGGTTAGATGTAATATGAGAAGGTGAATATAACCATAGTTATGACAGGTATTAGTGGGAAACAGGGGCCAAACTCTTGTGCAAGTGCATCTCCTTCGAGATCTCGTGAAGGGAAGCAGAGTTGCACCACACCACCCACTGGCCCGAGAGGGGAAAAGAAAAAAATAAAGTGAGATCCTTGCAATAGATAAGAGGGAAAAAGGAAGACTCACATTTTTCACAGAAGCTGATTTAACCCCATGGGTGCAGTAAAAGGAGCAGCTTCCCTTGCAGGTCATTTCATCCCAATGTACAGGCTTCATGCAGAGCTTCCCTGCTTTTCCCCACCAAACTTGCACCATCGAGAAATCACTCCAAGGACTTGTGGAATTGCTCTCAAGACAGAGTTATTTGTACCATACTTGTGATATCCATGAGAAAAAGATAAAAAGGCATCTCAATCCCTAAAGCATCAGAATCCACAGTCCACAAAGTACCTTGTGCTGACTAAGCAGAGCATTTATTGCAGGGATTCTCTTCCCTACTATCCCAGCTCCAACAGGGAGGTAGGTCTTGCACCTGCTTCCCACTGAAGGATTCCTGGGAGCCACCAGCAACTCTAAGGAAACCAAAGAGCAAAAACCTGCCAGCAGTGAGTGTTTCCACCACGCTGGTCTGAGCAGCACAGTCACCTGCCCTCCTCCATCACCTGTTCCCACCTCTGTGTTTCTGGGTGTCTGGTTTTCAGTAACCCCCTGCTAAGGCAAAAACCATCCTCCCACAGCTGCACCAGCCACAACACCTGGAACCCCCCGACTGCAGCAACAAGTCACAGGATCACGGAACGGTCCGGGCTCGAAGGCACCTCGAAGCCTCATCTCGTTCCAGCGAGCAGGGAGCATTTTAAGCCCGGAGGGACCTTGTTGAAGGCTG